TATTACAGGCTGCAAGTGCTCTGACAGTTGCCCTAAAGAATCCAACACAGATGGATCTAGCCCCAAGAGGGCAGGAACATCTTCGACCCGTTGCTTGCTTGCTCTCCTCTGGACAGCCGTGGCCACTCCCTTTCCCTTGCGCGAACTCCCGGGGGCCTTCGAAGTGTTGGGGGATCCCTTTGGGGGAATTCTGTAGCAAATGGCATGGTATGGCTGAGTCATTTCCAGCAGCACCTCGAGGCCCTCTAGCTCTGACTCCGTTTCCTCCTCGATGGTCAGTTGTTTCCTTTTCTTGGTCTTCTGGCCCATGGTTTTTTGTTTCGCAGCATGAGCAACCACGGGCCAAGGAGCTTCTTTGTGTCGCTCCGTGGATGGTCACTTTTTGGCACCAATCCGTATCTCTCCTTTGGGGATGGCACCGGGGGTCGCTTCAGCTAGCTCAATTGGGTTGACCTGAGGGAATATGAACCCCCCAGCCTTCGTTGGTGGCTTCAGAACCCTTGGTGGCACGGTCGTTGCACGCCATGAAAATGTGTTAGCGAAAAAGTCATCTTTGATACAAGGTTAAAAGTTCTTCTAGATAAGAAGATACTTACGGGCTGGAGCTTCCAAAGATGCCTTGGGGCTAGAAAAATCATACTTTTGCAGGTTGGCAGTGGTCACGAGCGGTCTTGCGTCGCGACTCTGATCAGGTAAACGACCAAACGCCTCGATACGGTTGAAATCCGCTAAAGCTGACAACCCAGTCGTTTTGTTCTCTGCAAAAAAGCAAAAACTTCATTAGTCTTAACTACCAAAAGAGAGTTAAAGGAAATGATAGTCGGTTTGGAAATTAAAAAGGAAAAACCTACTCAACTCTCTAAATTTACAAATGTCATCGTACTCGAAGAAGAAATATTTAGTTTCATAAGCCCCAATGTTGCTGGGTGACCAAATATCCCCCCTCGATTGTAGATCACTTCAAGAGATAAAAAGAATCATTGTCCTTGCTTTTCTTTAGATAGTAAGTGCATGCGAGTTCCAGTACTGTTAACTCGCCAAATCTGTGTTTGCGGCATGCGATATACATAGCAATTGCTATCATATATGCATTGGGTGTCAATTGAAATGGCACGAGCTCGAAGTGGTCGAGGATCGACCTGATAGAAGGGTGAAAGGTTATCGTCACCTCGCATTTGAGGATTGCTTCCGAGATCACAGCCATTCCCTTTGGAGGGTCCTGAGTGGTGTGCGACCTATGTTGGTAGACATTGATTGCGAACTGGTCTACCACCTTTTGAATCTCATCCGTAGTGGCCGCTGATAGTACCGCCTGTCCGGGACCTATCGAGGTGCCCAGGGGCTGCAAGCTTGTTCCCTCGACTACTTTCATCTCCCAAACATCCATTGCTCCTAAAGTTTGAAAAGGTACGACACGTAGAGGTGACTCAATCTCCGTACACAGTGTTTCATACGACGACTTGAAAGAGTAAAAGAAACTCTAATTTTCCTTTCTTAACCCCTAAAAACCCTAAACATCCTTGAGAATAGGTTCCCAAGGATTTGTGCCTTAGGTTTTTAACTTTTAAAAGTGTTCCTTTTTTAACACTATCCAAGAGTATGCATCATGTAAAGTTTACCAGACATTCATACCCACCATTGCTGTAAAAGACTGAGTCTTTAATAGAGATGAAAAGAAGAAAGGGAAGAATTTTCCTTACCTTTTGGTTGCTGGGGATGAACACTTTGTCATAACGATGAGTGCGCATCAACTGAAGAATGATGAATTGGTTTCCTGAGTGCAAAAACTCTATTTTTCTCTCTAAAGATTCGAGCTCTGTGAAAGGCTTGAAGCGGGCTTAGGGTTTTATAGGGAAAAAGGCGACGTTTGGCTTTCCTTATAAGCGACGTTTGGGCAGGATGCGTTCCTAGCCATTGGATGTGACCACATGTCGCCAATCCTCGTGAAGAGTAACCTTCACGCTTCGTAGATATCAATCGACGTTTCCCTCCATTAAAGACACCAAACATCAGTGTGGTTATCTCCATCACATTAAATGAGCCCTCATCCACATTTAATGCTTTAAAAGTGAATGTCGTTTCAGCATGGCTTGCATTTAATGCTCATGGCTGACACTTATTGCGCAAAGACACGTCTGTCAGATACATCTTACTTTATTGACCAAGCTAGCTGTCAAGCGCAACGAATAACATCTGAAGAGGTCGTTCGAATGAAACACTCTTCTCCGTGTATTAAGCTCGAAGCGAAGTGACTTCCGGTTTTCAACGAAAATATTCTAAGTGTTTTTAGGTCGCAAGCGATGGATAAAGTTCAAAGCACGTTGGTATAGCACTGAGCAGGGTCCGACCTCAGGTTGTTGAACCTTTAGGGGACGATCACCTTAGGTCGCTTGTGCAAATTCTTGAAGAATGTCGCGACCTCCTCTCAATTTGCTGGTCGAGTTAGACCGTGAACTTTATGTTATATCAGTTGTTCTCCACTTGCAGTTTGAGCAAACGTTCCTCAGGACAAGTCAAATTATGGCATAATCATGAAGTTCTCAAGGTTTAAGCCTTGAACCTTAAGACTTGAACCTTGAGAACTGGGGGGGCTTCTATTATGCCTAAGAAATCAGGGTTGACACAAGCTTACGTCACCAAGGACCAATTAGAGTTTAGGAAGGCTTTGTGTCGCCCAGACGTTGTCACGTTGTCCAAGGACGGAAGGAGTAAGGTTGTCATCAACTTGGCAGGTAAAGATTTGGCTAGTGAGTGGTTGGGAGTCGCCCACCTGCCCAAGCCTTGCGCGATTTAAGGATATCTCCTGTACAATAAGCCAATGGGAAGCAGGGTAGGAATTGTACTACACTTGCCCGCTTACAGACTTGTAATCATTACCCATAAACCTCTTACTATAAATAGAGGGCTCTCCTCTCATTTTCGGGATTCTGATAACAAAAACACTCACTCTCCCTCTCTGTATTTCTATTCTCTGATCACTATACGCAACCTTATTGTAATCTCTCATTTATAAAAAAGCAGTGAATGTAGGATTTGCTTAGAGCATCCGAACCACTTTAAAAATCATCTCCCATTTTATTTTCTTCATTTCCCATTCACATGTAATTTCTTAGTCAGTATATCACTTTGCACGTGCGAATAGTTAGTGTCAAAATCAAGCATCAACAATGAGTTTTCTATAACTATTTCTAAATCATGAGTTTTTAAGAAAGCAAAAAGTTAAAACAGATTAGAAAATTAGATAAATTAAAAAAGATTAGGAAAGTGAAGAAGTTAAAAGAGATTAGCAAAAGGGTAATTTTGGAATAAATTAAAATTTATTTANAGGTTTAGCGAAACTTCAAGTTAATACCCTAGTTTTATTTATTTCAAATACCCACCCGTAAAGTAACACAATTTTCATTATTTTAACAGTAAATGGGTAAAATGGTAATTTTTTTCTCATCCCTTCCCATTTCTTCCTCATCTCCGCTACCTCCTCTCATCTTCTTCTTCTTCTTCCCTTCCCATTTCCTTATCTCCGCCTCCTTCTCCGATCTTCTTCTTTTTCCCTCCGTACCTCCTCATCCCATCTTCTTATTTTTCCCTCCATTACCACCGGCTTCATCCCCCTACCCTCATCAAAACCCCATCACCCCCTAGCCGCACCAGCTCGCCATTCATCGGTAGTCCCCGACCCCTTTTTGGTACTTTTCGGTGACATAAATTGCCCATTACCCCATTTTCCGACTCCCTGGCACCTCACCATCCCAACCCCCCCTGGGCGACCACCATGACTCCCATTTCTGTCGTCACCCTTCACCTCAAGTGTTGCACTCTGCCAGCTTCTTTCCAGCCAACCCCATCACCGAAAATCTTCATCGAGCCCACCATTCGACTCATCAAAGAGCCCTCTCCAATAACCCCATGCTTTTCGTCCCCAATTTCTCACCTTTCAATGCCGATTGAAGCCCCCACTCCATAGGGTTTTTATTTTGTTTTTGGTTTTTTATTGAAATGGTGTGATTTTTTGTGGTGGCTGTTGGAATTGGAATGAGGTGGTTTGGCCGGTTGTGGTGGTTTTGGGATGGGGTGGTTTGGAATAAGCTGTGGTGGTGGTTTGGAATGGGGTGCTTTGGCTAGTTGTGGGATTTAAAATAAGGTGGTTTGGTCGACTGTGGTGGTGGTTTGGTTGGCTATGGTGGTGATTTGGGATAGGGTGGTTTAGAATGGGATGTGGTGGGCGTTTGGAATTGGGTGAAAGGGCAATTTGATAATATCACCCGTCAAAACCCAACAGTCACTAACTCTATTACTTTAAGGGTATGTATTTGGAATACATGAAATCAGGGGCATTAAGTTAGGATTTCACTAAACCTCGGGTGGGAATATGTCGTTTACTCTTTATAATAAAATATTCTCATAATAAAAGTTAAATTTAATATCGGATTTTGCTTAATTTTAAAAACATAAATAATACCGTGGATGGGGAAGATAATTTAATTTCATTACAAACATAAATGACATTTTGGCAGGGCGAAGTTATGTATTGATTGGGGTGATCCACACCAGCTAGCTCTCATTAGTAAATGATTAATTACAATATAGTGCATATAATTTTGGTTTATTTTCAAGAATATAATGATTTTTCACTGATAAGATAGTCCTTCAAATAGACATACGTTTCTTTGATATTTTGGAGAAAGAGGTGGATTATGAAATTGATTATGAAAATTTAGATTAAGGTTTATATAAACATTAAAGGTTGATGAGTAAAACAAAATAAATATAAATATAGTAGGAGTATAATTAGAATTTATAACGTCTATTTTAGTAATTTTCTTTAAGGTTAAATTTGTCAATAATTGGGAACTGAAAATCACTTTCTTTTTCTAATTTGAACCGAGGTGAGGTATCATATAATGGACCGAAGGCAAGAAAAGTTTGGGCCTAATTAGCGGTCCAGCACATTACAGGAGACGTCTAAGGCTCTCAGCTATAGCATCTCACCTGTTATAATATCTTAGAAGTTAAAAAAGAGTATCTTTCTAATCTTCAAAAATCTGCCACTTTCATTACTTATCAGTTATCAGAAGCAACAATGCCCATCTCCACCACTCTATCCATCCCCGGCGTCGGTGCCGGCACCTTACTTTCTGGTGAGTTCCAGCAACTGGGTCGTGTTGAAACCAAGCTCTCTCACGAAGCCAGAAAACATTGTATTTATGGGCACCGTTTGCCGAATTACAAGTGCTTTTGGCAAGTACCCAGAAGCAAAAACTTGAAGAATTTTAAGCCTAGAGAATTTCCTTTGCATTTTGCTTATGGAAAAGATGCTGAAGATAGCTCTCTTTCGGTATAGTACTTCTAGTTCTTGTTTTTCAGTTTCAGCTGGCTTAAATTGCTGAGGAAGCTAAAGTTAATTTAAGAAAGATGATTTCTTTGTTTATTTTTTAGACTCTTATGCTGAGAATATTGGAGAAATTAAATATTTTGTTATCAGAATATAAATGAATCTTTTAATGACATGATTAATGTTGTTTTGAGTTCCTTGATATGTGATCACAACTGACAAACATGCTGAATCTAATATGTGATGAAAGACTTGTGATAATGGAAGAAAGGGATTATATAAGATATTTTGTCTTGTGTTCTTATGAGTTTGCCTGTATGAAGGTATAATTTAACTGAATCAAAATAGTTGTCTTGGGATTGTATTTTCCTCATTTTAGAGGAAATTTTATGAATGACCTATATGTTTGACATACTTCTCCCTTGCTCTTTCTAGTTTTCAAACTTTCCTTATGAGAACTTAAAGTTGAAAATTTTCTTTTGCTGTGTAAGAGGAACTGAAGTATTGGGGAAGAAGAAGGAATAAATATCCATTCTCTATCATTCCATTTTATTCTCTTTGAAGTGGAATGATTTGGATATTATTGTGGTATGATCTTATCTTCCATTCATTTGCATTGTTCAAAGAAATTTATGTAAATGGTTTGTTAGTGTCCATTATTAACTCATAAGTTGACGTGAAAGTGTTTTCAGTCCAGTGAGACATGATGTATGTAGGAACCATTTCATTTAGGTGAAGCAAAAGTAGTACTTAACAACACTGAAACCTATTGCTTTTATTCGTTATACTGTTTAGGTCAAAAAACATTACATATGCATGAGAGAACAAGCCAATGAAATGGAAGATCACTTTTCAGATTAGGATTTGAGAATTAATGCATTTGTAGTTTACAAGAAAATGGATTCAACCATATAAAAATACTGTTCTGTATTGTGGTCAGATGAGGAGGCTCTGGGGTGCCATTAAAACAATAGGCTCTATGAATGATTTTGGTTCTGGGTTGAAGCTGCAGTACCATAAAACAATGCTTTTATAAACTGTACCGTAGGAAATAGATAACTAGATTTGGTATATTAGTTGTGAAGATTTATTTTTTTATTATTTTTCTGTCATTCAATTAGAAATTCTGCATACAAATCATTATTTGTATATGTTTTTTAAGGGATGTAACATGACTTGCTTGATATATATTGCAGAATCTGAGTGAAGATACTGATGAAATGTTTGATGACTTGTTTAAAAAATATGGAGAAGTTGTATTCAGGAGAAATGACCAAAAGCTTCCAAGTGCTGAAGTTGATGATGACGCTGAAAGCTTATCATGTAATTCATTCACAATTTATTCAAATACTTGTCAGCATAAAATGTGCATGATGTTTGTAATTCCCATCACATTTTAGCCTTAAGACAAAATCAGCTTTGCTTCATTATTACATTCCCTTTTAGATGATGATTTCCATTGTTCTTGTTGTTGCTAGTATTACTTTGATTGTTGTTGCTAAATTCATGACATAAATTATCATTTTGACATGAATTGTTTACATTTTATGTTGTGAGCTTCACTTTTTGCACAACTGACACCAATGGCCCTTTTTAGAGAAAGGGATTTGTCATAGTTAAACTGTCAGCATACAGTGAGTGTAGCAAGCATGTCACACTGTCTAATTTTTTTTTTTGTTTCTATAACTGAGTATATTTAGTACCTTCCAAAATTCTCATTCTCACTGTCTCTGAAGCTTCCAGCATTTCTTTTTAGGACCTACTGCTTTGTCATTAATTTCACGTTCTGCTCTTGGCTACATATGTCATGCCCTTCCCAGTCAAGGCGTCCATCTATGCCATACTGTGTTACTCCTAACAAAGTGATAGTTGTATTACTGAAGCTGTGCTCCAAAACTTTCCTGTTCTTGTGAATTGTCCCCCACTTTTGGCCATAATTAAATATTGGCTAAATTATACGCCAACTGATGGTTTCCTGCCATTCTGTAGTTGCTGTGGCAATGGCCCGGGTTGCAAGTGACGTGAAGGCTGCAGACATAAAAGTTCTCTTTGTGAAGCCTCTTGTGTATTGGACTCGGTTTTTTATCATTGCAACTGCGTTTTCTCGCCCTCAGATTGATGCTATTGGGTACATCAACTTTGACTTGATGATCTTTAGTCTTAGTTGGAATTGTTTATAATCAGTCTAGAGTGCAAGCGGTGCTTGAACTGACTTTTTCTATTTTGTTTTCTGTTGTAATTTGCAATACAGATCCAGAATAAAAGATCTAGCTGAAAAGAAGTATGGAAGGATCCCATCTGGGGACTCAAAACCCAACTCGTGGACCCTTTTGGATTTTGGTGAGTGTCCTTACATGATTATCAGCAACTCAATAGTTGTGGAGTTTGATAGAAAAATCACTGTGCTTGTGACGCTGTAACTTTTGAACCTTAGCTATCCATTTTGATCTTGGTGAAGAAAGATATTATGTATTAGTCCCATCTATTATGACCTACTTTGATTTTGTGCTTCCTTATCTATCAATTTATTCAATCATAATGAAGTGGGCTGCAAGGAAGAATATATTATTTTGGTGTGTGATTTTAGTCATCTCTAGAGGTTTCGGAGATGCAATAAACATACCAAAATAATACAATACACAATGATAATTGCTCTACTTTTTAATGTTTTAATCTGAAATTCAAATTTTTCCATGGCACCTTAATGACTGGATGGCTTTATAGTTTTACATATTTTCTAATTTCTATTGTTTATCCTGGAAAGTTGATTGACAAGTTCCATGAGATACGTGAGTTAGGCTCCTTTTTAGTTTTCTCAAGATTCATTTGCTGTCACTGGTTAAACTTGTAAAAATCTTTCAGTTTAATTGGTGCAATTCTTTCTAAATTGAACAAAATTATGGTCATCTACCAGGATGCCCAAAAAGCACAATTATAAGATCCTTTTTAAGACATTTAGCTTCAGTATGCTGAGAAAACTGAGTTCTGTTGACTTTTGTCTTAATTTCAGGTGATGTCGTTATCCACATATTTCTTCCAGATCAGAGAGCTTTTTACAACTTAGAAGAATTTTATGGAAATGCAACTCCAATTGAGCTGCCCTTCGAAAACCAACCCCCATTACAGAGCTGAGTTACTTTAAAAGCTTGTGCTGATGGATGCAGTGTTGGCCAGCTTTCAAGGAGGCAGATTTCGCCTCTACTCGTTTTCATCTGTTCAAAGATTCTTATCTCAAAACTCACAGAGAGGCTGCACATTTGTTGATTCTGCGTTTCTGAATGTGTGCTTGTTTGAGATGATTATTCACTAGTCAGCAATGGGCTATAAGAATGGTGCAGTGTTGTAATATCTCAGTATTAACTATTTCTGATCCAGTTTAGAAGGACTTTTAACTATTTCTCTAGAAGGACTTTTAACTATTTCTCTTTCATTTAGAGCGTTAAGGGGCTTGATAAGCTTGTAGCCTTGTACATGTTAAAGATGCAGTAATTGACTAATTGTATCAGAATGGCTCCTCAATGATGAGCAATGAAAAAGGTTTTACAGAATTAGGCAGTGTGACTATTATGTAAACACTTAGATAAAGTAGAGCTTAAAGAGAGAAAGAGAATGTGAGATTTCTCAAAGGGAACATATCGAGGGGTTGAATGAATTTTCTTCAAAATGAGTCATGATACGGAACACATCTGGTAACAATATATAATGATTTTTTTTCTATCATTAGAATGTCACATTTATAACACGAAATGTCACTCTAAATTGTACAAGGTTTATGTTATAGAAAAAGCCAAGCATTCAATTAATGTAAGAACATTTTCAGTTTCTTCATTTTGGTCCTTTTCTGGTCAAGGGCCTTCTGTCAAATTCTTAATAGAAATTGTTGATTTGCAATCAGTTTGATTTGAGACCTAAATTTGTAAACAATAATGCTAGATTTACAAAGAAATCTTACAATGATTTATATACAAAGTGATGTGGTAAAAAATGAATAGAAGAGTAAATATAATGAGTTTGACTTTTTGTGTTCACTCTTTCATTCATTTCTTGCAACATCACTTTGTACATAAATCTTTGTGAGATTTCTTTATACATGTAGCATTACTCATTTGTAAATAGAAGTTGCTCTTTTCCTGAAAGGGAAAGGTAAGAGAAGCTATATAGACAGAGCTATTGAAGATTAGAACCTCAAGCACAGGTCCCTGTGCCTTTGACTGTTTAATTAGCCGAAGTCCCTCATAAGAATGAAAAAATTACAGTTTAACAAATACAATCATTAAGTGGGCGCCAATTTTCTCCAAAACAAAGTTGTACAAGTCAAATACTGTTGGGCATATACCCAGCTGCAAATAAAAGGAACGTCAGTTACTTGTTATGGGACAACACTCCTAATTCCTAAAGGTATAGTTAAAATTTAAAACCTGAAAGGCATGCCTTCTATTAGAAGATTCAGGATTTTTGTTTAGGGTTCTAGATATAAAATATGCTTTATGTCTGTATAATAAATATATTAATATGAAATCTATCCTCAAAATAAAAGTATCAGAGTAAACATCTTAAAACATTCTAAAATTTTAGATGGTTGCACCCATCTACTATATAAACAATCACGATTCTATCTATATAAATTGTTACATTAAGACATCATGCAAACAATTGTGGTTCTAACTGCATTAAGTTAAATCTTTTTTTTTTTTTTTTNAAAAAAATAAAAAATAAAAAATAAATAAATAAATAAATAAATAAATAAAGTGTTGGGTGTGTTAGGTAATCCAAAAGGCAAGTGTTTGCATTTCTTCCTCAAGTGGATTCCAACTTAGACGCAGAGAGAAGCATCCCAGAAATTAGGATTTACAAGGAAAAGGGAAAAGGGCATGCCTTGGCTGATCTCCATAGTAAATTAACTTACAACTGGGGCTAACTACTGTTATGTTTCAACATTAGTCTCACTGTTAATTAATTAAAGAATATGAACATACGTACATAAGATGGGATGGATTTTCTTAATTGCCAAACAGCTCACTGTGTCAACATCTTCTAAGCAATAAAGGGCCATGTTTGTCAATTGATGTTGTGCATGTGGACTACAAATTTATAAGTTCGTGAAAGGGACTGCTTCAATATGTCCAATAATATGTATATATATATATTATAAAGAGGTTTTGTTATTACGACTACAGTGATTAATGTTTAATCCCTTGAGGGTTTGTGAAACTTGATCAGATTCAGCTAAATTGAGAGAGAGAGAGAGAGAGAGAAGATATATGGAGTGGTGGGGGCCTGCAAATTAAAGGACTTGCCTAAGTTTTGTCCAATGAGGGAAGATGATTTTGAGTCGGGTTTCATATGATTGGAGGAAAAAGGTACTAGTATTTTTTGTATCCCAATCATGCGGCATGAATCCTCTGGGGAGATTTTTCACCAATAACGACATGCCACATGGGAATCTTGATTCTAATCATGCCAAGATCATGTCATTGAAAGATAAATTTAGAATATTGGGTAGGTCATCCTTCAATAACACATTAATAGGTATGTTGTGATCTCAAATATATTTTTGCATGCTTAATTTCTCCTTTCTGCTCCCATAAATTCTACAATATTATAGCCTTTGACAATTAATTAATCACACCATTTTGTTCCTCAATGTTGCATTATATATATATATATATATTCCTACCTCCCATACTTTGATGAATGAATAAGTATATTGAAATTGAATAGAATAAAGGAAGAGGCAGGCAGCTATATGCAGTACAAATAAGTCAAGAAAAAGCTTTTTGTGGAGAAGTCATCAACCATGTGCCGATCTCTCTCACTCTTTCTATAAATGCAAGTAAAATTTCATTATTGGAAGAATGGTTATATATATATATATATATATATATAATTGATAAGAGAGAAACATTGAAATAATTGATTGTACTCTACTCCCTAAGTTGTGATCCAAGAACATCCACAGAGGCTTAAGGATAAGATAACTATTATAAAAACATCCAATCATTCATTTATTTTCTTTGCTACAGAATTGTAAATGGCTACACTTAGTTTGTTTGTACGTACTCGCATTCTTCTATAATTTTTTTTTCACCAACTTGGACTCGGGGTTTATTTCAATTCTTGATTGGTATTTTATGAGTATAGTCCAGCTCTTTGCCAACCAGGCCAACCACGCAAGCGCAGAAGTGTTACATTAATCATCCATGCATTATAGATAGCTTAGCTAGCTTACATTGGAACTCTTGAAAACTACTAGTTTATAAAAGAGATCTGATAAAAGGCCTCGTAAATTGATGCTTTCAGGACCATTAGAATTTAGAAAGTAATTGCACGATCACTGGCTGGCCTCCATCCTTCTCCTCCAAAACCAGCGGCTTGGACAACACCGAAAAATCTTGACAACAGAGATTCACTTGGAACTACTCAGCTATTTGCATGTTCTGGGTTTAATATTATTTCTTTTAGTTCTGCTTTCCACTCACGACAATACGTCCATACAATTAAAGGTTTTTATTCACAAAGTATTCTTACTATATAGTAGCCATTATTTGTATCAGAGAAAAGCCCCCAATGGTACATAGTCTGATTTAAGAAGGATGATGACTTCACCTTAGTGTGTTATATGTTTTTTTTTTATTAGATATTAAATTCAAACCCCAAGACATAAAGACAATAAGGACGACGTCAATGCCATCAGATCTCAGGAATAAGCTGATTAATCAATATTAATTACAAAATATGAACACGAATTTTGATATCAAAACGTATATGTAATTACCTCATGATATATTCGGGAATAATAATTAATTAAATGTTGAGTACCGTCAAGCTAATCTTCGTCAATATATAATATATAGGCGGCCTGCATCATGCAATCTCCCACCAGAATATTAACAATTAACTTAATTATCTGCAACCCTATGGCTAGGTCGGACGGTGCCGTTTGCCAAGGCCACCATGACTGTCAAGATTCTAATTTGACTAGTCACAGGAGACAAAACCCTAATTTTTATTATTAGTGTTGCTAACAATGTCATTCTTAAAGGAAATAACATGCTCCTATTACCGCAACCTATATATCCAAAAGGACCAAAACCTCAATTTAATACTAAATACTGTTTAATGGAACAGTAACATTCCTCCTACTACCACAATTAATAAATATCCAATAAGGAATATATGATGATTACTGTAATCTAGGTTTGGAATCTTAGACAATCTCCTCAAAACCCTGGTTTAATGCCTCATTGATTGATCCAATCCAACAAGCTATCATGTGCCCTTTTCCTCTTCATCACATGCACCTTCTTACCTTTCAAACTTTCACATATATATTAATCTACTTATACCGATTCCAAGCAGACAAATTGACCATTTATTTTTTATTTTTTTTATCTTAGACTTGCGAAATTTTACGTATTTGAAAAGCAGGGAGACATGAATCTTATCTGATAGAGCTGACTGAGAAACATAATTTACTGGCAAATTGTAACAACGAGGTCGAGCATGCAGAGTTTATTATATGTCCATTAAAGTTATTTTTTACCAAAACTTCTGATCATTCTCCATTATCAGTGTTTGTAAGAAGTGTCCCTAGCATCCTGCATAGAAATCGGTACTCCTGAATCCTTGATTCACCAATAATTTGGAAACAAAATCAGTAGATATCAGACTTTCTCTAGTAATTAGAGGAATTCAGAATTCATGTCTTCTTAAAATAGAGTAAAAGATGCACGTTATTAGACTTGTATTTGCACCAAAAAGTTCTAAGATTTGTACATTATTCAGTTATCTTCTTAATCTCATTGTAAACGAATGTCAAAAGCCTACAATTATGCAAATTTTTTGATAGTGTTATTTGAGCCCCAATAAATCTCTTTTTAAACTCCAATAATAAAAGATATTTAAATAATATTAATCTAAAATACCATCTTTCTAAATCTTCTGAAACTCTTTATCTTCTTCTATCTATTATTCTCAAGATGTACTCATCTATGTTCCATTATGGTTGAAGAAAGGATTTTGCTTGCGATTTGGGTTTTCTAATACAAATGTGTTTTTAGTCCTAGAGCTACAAAGGCTTGACATTCCTTTTCCAGGAGAATCAATTTTATTGTAGGGGCAAATACAACAGTACCCACCTTACAAATAATTGCAGTAAAGTGAATTACGTAAACCACTACTAGATAACTTGATGGTAAAAGAACAAAAGAAGGTTTATAAGTTTCTAAGTTCGAGTTCTCCAAACACTAATAAAGGTGACTATTCTGGCTCTTATTCGATCAACAGTTCTAAGGCTCTAAATGATTAGTTGAAGTGCGCATAAACTGGCTTGAACATCCCTGATGATAAAAAAAAGAGTGAACTATAGATCTAATAA